TCGTCCATCAGAAGCAATCCAGGACCAACAGCAGCAGCATATGGACAGACATACTGATCAAGGATCTCGTCTCTGATTGGTTGTTACCTGGACTCGTCTGTGAAGAGAACAGACGTCCATTGTTGACTGGTCCAGGAGACGTGTTCGCTTGCCGAACATAAATTGGCACCTCTGTGTCCTCGAGTCAAGGTTTATACAAACAACTGGTCGTCTTGCAAACAAACCTGTATTGTGCAGGCCTCTGCGCACTATAGTAGCTGAGATTCTTGTTCCTGTTGCCACTAAATGATCTGCCATGAGCTGAGGCGCAGTAACGTTACTCCTCCTTTGGGTCGAAAGAGCTAAATAACAGTCTCCCGCAGCTGTTGTAACTCTAGGTCTGCCTGGAACATGTCTTCTAGACACATAATTCTTGGATTCAAACTAATTCCATAGTCGTTGGACCACACTACGAGAGGCATTGAGACATCTAGCAGCATAAGCTTGCGACATTTCCATCTACCCGATCGCCAACCACCTCAACAAATAGGACTTCTCCTGGACATGGATAAATTCTTCTGGATATTGTCCACGAAACTGTAATAACAACTGAAGATCAACACTAGTGAACAAAAATTATAATTTTTGCATTTTTCTCCAACTCCTATATAAGTATTCATTTCTATAAAATAAAAGTGAAAGCTATTGTTTTTGCATATATTTCCTTAAACTTCGTTACTGTCATGCATATGAACTGTGAATTTAAACGTTACTGACATTTTTGTAATGGTGAACTTTGAGAAACATGCTGTTCCTAACTTTTGGAAAGCAATGTATATGCCAATATACTTAACTGCATGTTATCAGCAAGAAATGATGTACAATATTCGTTACTTTCAGAGGTTTTGTCTTAAGAGATTTGGTTACCTAAGTACTGCCTTATTACAATGCCACTATGTCTAATGGTGAGCCCCATCAATCAAAAATCTACATGCCGTTGCGTGTACTGATGAAACTGACTGCATCTATATGCTGTTGCAGTCAGTTTCATGCTGTTGCATGTACTCATTTAGGAATTTAAAAATTTGTTATCCAGTTGTAAGATTGGGCAGAGTCTTTGAAAATAACATATCTTCATGAATGTCACTGACAAACTAGTACCTAACATAACAAATCAAGAATGCATCATTTGAGACTTCTGTTGTCTCGTATGAAGTGAATAAAACATAATTTCTTTTATTCCATAGATAAGTCCAGATTTTACGTTATTAGCCTTGTAACTGATTCAGCGTGTAACAGTATAGTGTGAGAGTGGTATTAAATCAATGACCTCGTGTAATTTTCACTAATCATTGTTTTAACTATATTGTTTGTTACTAGAAGTATTAAGGTTCTCACTTACAGACTGGATGTCCCATTGTTCATGATGTAAAAATTTACAATATAGAAAGCGTTTAAGGCGCTTATAGTGGCAAAAAATGTAATTTTTTTAACTTCTCGTATTCTATAAAGTATACCATGAGGCTTACACAAGTAGTTACAGCACTAACAAAATAAATAAGCAAATGTGCAAGTGGAGAAAAAATTACTGGAAAATAAATGAATAAAAATAACAGATATATAAAATATAAGTAAAAGACAAAATAAAATATAACAACTTTGATTTCTTTATTCAGTTCTTAAGACATCATTCCGAGCTGTGACTCCGAGCGTGTTGGACGCACTTTGGCTTACTGCTCATTTTGCTACGAACTGACCCAGTCCCGTAGGCGGTCAGTGTGTTTACTTGGTTAGTTATTCTGAGTACTTCTCAGAACAGTGAGTGATACATGAGGGTTTCACGGTAAGCATGTCCTTTTTTTAGGGCAGTTAATACGGATGATGAAGCCAGCAGCTGTACGGATTCTTTCGACTTTGTCTCTGCCATTTACTTCAAAGCGTGAAGAATTTGTGAGGGACCCCAGACTCAGGAAAAAAGATAAAGCCAAAAAGGATAACGCTGTTTTGGAGAAGGAAGTTGCGAACGAGGAAGGAACCAGAGAAGAAAAAATACAGAAATTAATGCAGGATTACGGAGAAGAAAAAATACAGATTCTTTTACAAGAATTCGGAACTGAACACTTGACGCGCCACAGGAAATTCGAAAAATAACTAAAGGCAGCTAAAACTCCTGAAGAAGTGGGCAATCTCGCGATGGATTTTACAAGGAAAACTTCAAGCTTACCAGCAAAAGAAAGCGAACAAAACAAAACGCTACTCTTCCTTGAAAGGATAGTAATTGAATTTTCCCCAAGAAGACTGCAAAAATACAAGAAAAGCCAGTACCTATGGAAATACCGCAAGAGAATCGATTCCAGTTACCCAGGAAAATAGCAGAGGAAAGCCCGTTGGAGGAGCCAACGATGTAAACCCGCACCCACCAAATGTATTCTCTCAAGACGAAATCAATTGGAAGAAGTTAGATGAAATATTCACGCTACACTGTGCAGAAACCCACGAATCCCAAATGAGAGGAAAATCTATTTTTGTCTACACCAAAAGTCGTAAACTTATGGAAGGACGGTTTGATATTTCAGTGCATTATGATGAAACGGAATGGCTGGCTAAGTTACAGGTATGACGCAAAATGTGCAGCAAAAGGATGTCAAGAAACAACACAGTTATGATTCTTTACACTCCTCTTTTGTTGCTAAGACTAAAGCAGGAAGTTCATAGGTAGAGCAGCCAGAAAAAAAATTCATATAATGTCAGTCTTGGGAGAAAAAGTGACAAATATTGCCCAGAGTATTTTCGAAACACTGAGATTTTCAGCTTTAGTATGGTACACCCAGTTAATGAAAATTTTATTTTGTCTTTTTCGGAAATCTAGAAGGTCCACAAAGGCAGGTTTCCAGGTCCACAGATTGAGAAAAGCTTGTCTGTGAGATTGTAGAAAACTCTATTTGCTGTTCGGCAGGCAGTACAGTAAGATTTCTAAAAGGGAAGGTTTGTAGTTATTAGTTACTTCTTAATCGATTTTTGTTTAGAAAGATCTCATAACAACTAGCATTACTTGCAGTAATTGTGAGTACTAGCGTGATAATTAGAACTGTGCGGAAGAGTTAAAAGAAGCTAATTTCCATTTTCCTGTTTTGTCTTTGTTAGCGGTAACAGAAATAAAACCCCAAAATATTTCTTTCTACAAATTCTTCCTAAATAATATCTTCAGAATCATAATTTAGGACATTCGTATTTTTGATTCACACATTTCGATTGATTAAAGAAGGCATAGCAAGAACAGAAAGCTTTTCCATTCTCGTTGTGATTTCTTCGAAAATTCTGCCAGCATAAGAAACATTTCCCTCCTCGATTTCAGTTTCGAAAGACAATTATTGGGTCTTGATTCCTAAATCAGGATTAGTTTCTTCTTTCTGACCCACCGATCCATGACTCTCAGTAAGGTTATATCTCACGTGAAAAATGTCGTCCCTCCACCCTCATCTAGCGACCCTACTGACACCCGCATAATTTATACTGGATTGTGAATATGCAATTCCTGTCACAATTTTCTCCAGCAGACCCATCTCAAAATACTCATCTGACTGAGCATCTTCTCGTCTGATTTAGTGGGAACAGCAATAAATAAATAAATAAATAAATAAATAATGAAGCTGGAATATTATGTTAAGTGGAACATTCACCCCGCCCCCCACTTTTCTGGTCTTTTCAATAATTCAAATGTAGTGACATAACTTGCATCTGGATGATTGTTTTGCGTCACATCTTTTATGATCTATTAAATGGAGTATTGCATTTCTATGGATAACTTACACATTTTAAATACTTATAAAGTTAATATTATTTTGAATTAACCACGTATTTATAATTTCAGTCTTTACTATAACTTTTCTTTTCCATTTCCGCACTAGAAACGTAAATGAGTATTTAAGAGGAGATTTTGGATTGCAAGACACAGCGTGTTTCTGCTTCTCAAGGCCACGTTACTAGGTTTCACTAGTTCTGATAAGACTGAAATTATTCGGGTTTGCGTTTTAGCTGCCGTCATTTAAATCGTTACGTAGGTTGAAGTTCTGAGCCAACTTAGTGTTAGAGATAAATTGTGTAGCCTTGACTTCTAGATTACATTTTAAATTTTAAATCTGACTGTTACTTTAAGTTGCATCGCCACAAGTGGTGGCTGTTTATGTGAGCACATGACGTGCATTTTTTTATTCAACTTCTAATTTTAATAAAAAAGTTATTTTAACCTTTTCAAGTCTTTGTAGGTGCTTCAGATACAGTGATAATTCACTTAACGTCTGTTAGGGTTCGATTTAGTTTATGCTGCCGAAGAAAACCCGGACGCTATATACTTTATTTTTAAGAGATAAATCACTTTTTTAGCTTTCTGTGATCGAAACTTTGGTCTAGATTTCTTTATTATGATAATAGCAATTCTAGCATTTTCCTTTCAGCTTTAGAGACACTGCATAATTTTAAATCGGTAACACATGGTTACTTTGTATTAGTGACCTTGATTCTGCAGCTTTAGAAAACTTCAGTCAAAATTCAGGGATGCTAAAGGATTTAAAGTAGATTTCTGTATGTGTAGTGATACAGTTTATGAGTAAGTTTAGAACTTATTTAAAAAGAAATTAACAAGAAGGCGAAATTGAAATAACACTTCCGTCTACAATTGTTGGTAAACCGGCGGGATCAACGAACGTCATGGGACATCGGTATGAAGGAAAATAATATAAAATTTGATACAATCATCAGTCGACATTGCTCTGCATTCGATAAAAATAATTGTCCTGCAATAAGTAACAAATAAAAAGATATACCTATTAATTTCTTTTGCACTAGTGAAAAACAACAAAAATGTCAAAACACTGAGAAGTTAAAATTAATTTTAAATAGTTTTAATGCTTAGAATTTAAATCTATGCTTTAGATTAGACGTTTTGATAGTTCAAATGCCCTTGACAGTTTTTCTGAATTAAATACTAAATTTATTTAAAAAAATCAGCAAAATTAACTTACTGGCACTGATATTCTTGACCACAAAAGTAAGGCACTTGTAACACACTGTAATTTCTTCCCTCCAGAAAAGTGCACTCAGGATCTGGTGTCAGAACACAGTGTTCAAATTTCTGAAAACAAATGTTTTCTCTATGAAACAGACATATCTGTGATCTAATATCAGAAAGGCAGTTGCAACACAATGCATTAGTTTAGTATAGATAGGCATGCTGCAAATGGAGGTAAAATAATCTCAGAATTAAACCATTTTAATATTGATATTTTTTTTAACTGCAGGTTTTAATTTTTTAAACCGAAATAAAACATGCATTTGGAAGAGAACCATACCTATGTAAAACATACTAAGAGCAAAAAACAAGCTTAAACTAGGTTTGTATAATTAAAAAAAATAAATAAATACTAAAATGCAAATGATAAAAATTCCTAGGATCTTTTTTTATGACTGAAGCAGTTTTTATTGTTACAGATAATGCAGTATTTTAATAATGCTTCATTTTGGGTTTAGTTTGAATATTTTTGTAATATCTCTTTCAAAGTGCGCATAAAAATAGTTGTAGTGCACACAAAATTAATTCACATTCCTCTTAAACGTATATGCAGATCAGTATTTGATACATGTGTTAAATTTGTTATAAAAGCATCACTTGGGTCCATTTCATATTATTAGATACTTGTTTTTGAAAGCAAAAATTAATTATTCAACACAAATCTATACACTTTGTGTCTCCGATATTATTTATATTAACGATTTATTTATTAAAGGTTCATAAATATATAAATACAGGCATTTCTGAATTTTTTTTAGAAAATGAGTTAACTTTTTAATGACTTAATAAGAAACTTTTAGTCTTCGTTATAAAAGAGTAGAATTCATCCCAAGTTGCCATGATTTTAGTTTACCTCTTGAAGCTAAAGAAAAATTTCTTTACTTTACATTCATGTATGATTTATAAATGTTTTAGTTTTACGAAAGGCCTTTTGTTATAATAGCACTGAGAATATTTGCTCCATGGAGGGTAGCTTTCTTAAAAGACTTTCTAATCAACACATTTGTCAACAAAATTATTTTGTAGTCATTCTATTCTCGTGACAGGAACAGAAACTGAGAAGGTACCTGTGATTTATGTTTTTAACCACTTTGCTTCCGTGATTATGTGAACATTTTGATATTTACAAGAACATTTATAGCAAAAGTTATCTTACAGATTGATCTATATTAGTAAGTCCGAGTTTTGTGTTCTTTATTTCTAAACATCATCATTTTGATTCATCTCATAAGAGTTCACAAAGAACGCACGAAATTTTAATAAATTCTACTAAAATAATGTAATGAGTCCATTCTTAACGCTCTTCCCTTGCATATTTTTCATGGTAAGCTTAATGACAAATCTTAATTTCCTTTAACAGTCCGTAAGTAATTGGTCTCAAATTGTCGGCTTAGAAATTCCTCCACGAAGACATCCTTTCCCTTACACACATAACCCTCGAATGCTTTGCCATAATTAAATAAACCAAATTAAAACAACCCAAACTGACAGTCCCGAGGCAAATTTACATGAACCGCGAATATACTTTTCGTAAATAATCAAGGCTATTATGGCAAGAAGTTGAAGAAAAAGTTTAAAATTATAATAGTTTGGAGGTGAAATTTATATTATTTTAGTTACCAAAAACGAAGATTAAACGCCCCAGAAGATTTAGAAATGGATCTAACTAATTTACAATGTGATACAAATCTTATTCAACGATTTGAAGATACAGATTTGATTTTTACTCGTACATGTATAAAACCTTCAGTTACGAATTTTTGCAATACGAATAAACGCTTTGCTTGAGAGTACATTAATATGCGAATAGTTTTTTCTGCAGCTGAAAATGAAAAAGCTCAACTGACAAATGAGCACCTACAAATCTGGATGAAGTAGCTTCTAGTAATTTTTTTCCGAGGTTACAAACTTGATCAAAATCTAAATGCCATGAGGTGCTACAGCTAAAAATTGTAGTAAGAAATAAGGAAGCTTGTTTACATACAAATGTATGTATTTTTTTCTGTATGCGTCGAAGAAATATTTAATAAATAAAGGAGATTGTGTTGTCATTATTTATTCTCAAGATTTATTCAATTTGAAAAATTTTCGTAATTTGTTAATTTTTAGTTCAAGTAAGTTATTTAGTGGTCAATTTAATATCTCAGAATTATTTGAAATTCATGTTAATCTGAATACTTATTATTTAGCTGTCAATACGTTTGAATTACAAAGAGTCACAAACAGAAATTTCTTGGAGATTAAGAGCTTTTAAATTTCAGACAGAAAATAAGTGTAAATTTCAATTCTTCTTTCTTTATTGTTACTGTTTTTATTTGTTTTGATAAATATTTAGTAAACAAGAATATAGTTAAAAAGTGCTATTCTGTTAAAAAAAAGAATTTTGTTCAAAAATTTCTGGACCGTCAGCTGCTTTCAGATCGTGGACTCGGGCCGTATATAAATTAAGTTTACGACCACTGGTCTAAAATAGTTTTATAAAATTCCTCACACCCAATTTTAATTAATTTTTAAGTTAATCCAATTTTATTTATTATTATTTTTTAATTTTTAAAGGCTGCAATTAAAGATTTGCCAAAATGAATACGAAGTAATTATTTGAATATTATTTACGAAATGCGTTACTTACTTTGTTTAGCCAATAAGCACTAGGTCGAATTTTAGTCTTATTTTGCCTGGCTACCATTCGACGATAGAAGTATGAAGATATGATCCTTTCTACAGGCTCACGAATAATGTTGATGTAAATTGGGGGAGTTTCACCAAACCTGTAAATATATAGATGCTCTGTTAAGCATAAACTGTCATGAATCACTAATTCAGACATCATATATCCTTAATATATTATCATCGCATACCGTATATACAAGGGATCCACTAAAGTCCGGAACCATCCGTTGAACTGCCGACTGTCTGCAGCTATAATCATAAAAGTGGTATCTAGCTATAATCATATAAGTCACTGTGAGCTACTAGATGAGACCATTTACAAAGCAACCTGGTAGAAAACGGCCCAGTTCCTACCTTAAAAACAGTACGAGATAAAAGGAAAGAGTGATTTACAAAGTTGTAAAGCATCATCGATTTAGTACGAAAAAACACCTCGTGGACATGAATGTAAAGAATAGGACGTTTTAAACGCGTATATACTTGTTCGCGATTTCTTTTGCTGTGACGTGATGAAAGTATAAGCAAAAATAAATAAAAAATAAAAAAAAAAAAACACTTATCAAAATATACCTTTATTTTCGATGTTCAAACTTCTTTTCGTCAGCACATTTGGACATTTGTGAAAACTTCACATTACGCCCGTTGTAGTATAGCGGGTGACACGTTTTCACAAGCACCTGCAATACGGCGTTGAAGGTCCTATAATATATGTGGAGGGGTCGCATACCTCTGCTGTTTGATGTATCCCCACAGGAGAAAGTTCATTACGGTTAGGTCGGGTGAACGTGGAGGTCACTCTTCAAAGTCACCATAACGGATTATTTATTCTCTGAATTCCTCCGGCAAGTACCGCTTCACTGACGATGTCTTGTGCGCATGCGCGCCATCATGTTGGAACCATCTATTCCCAAGCTGAAGCAACGGCAGGTTCTCAACAAAATCGAATATTACGTCTTGCAGAAGTTCTAAATATTGTGTGACCGTTAACGTAGTCTGGAAAAATATTAGGCCAAATAGCCTGTTATTGTAAATTCCTCACAAAATATTTATCGAAAATCGTTATTTGATGTCGAACGTCGGCAGAACATGATCGACTTTCCAGTGCCCAGCGGTATTCTGCCTGTTGTACATTTAATTCCGCGAAAAGCATGCTCATCCGTCCACACTATATCTGCCAAGAATGTTAGCTGGAGCTCTATTTGTTTCGTGACGAAGTTGTACAATGCGTAACGTCTTTCGGCATCCCCGTTTCGTAATGCCTGATGAGGTGTTGGCCGGTATGGATGAACACCCAATTAGCTTAAGATTTCCAAGCGCGACTTTTTGACAGGCTACAGTTTTTACTTATTTCTCTTCTGCTGCTGTTCGGATATGTGAACTGTGTATGATAATAGATCTTCCGGTTGTACTCTCATCCCTACCTTAGTTGGTCTGCTGGATCGGCTAGTCACACCACATGTCTCCCTTTAACGTTTCACAACCTGTAGAATGGTTTTTGTGCGAAGGATGCAGTCCTGCAGGAAAAAATTGCTCACACAACCGCGTTACCGATTGTGCCTCGCGTCCACATTCAACGGGACGTGGAATCATCTCACAATAATCATTTTTGGAAAAACGCTCTATGACCTTGAACTATATACAATCCCAAGGAGGTATCTCTTTTATAGCTGTCTCAGGTGAACTAGTGTCACATTTCATACACTATTTGCATAATGCACGAATTTCGCACACCAAGCTAAAGTTACGTTGAGTCGATGTGTTTTGCGACGGGATTGTGCACGATCTGCATATTGTCTACTTTGTTTATAAAAACAATCAGTACAAGGGCGCATTTCTCTGAATTTGAACCACAGTCCTCTTGACTGTGAATTACACGCGATACCATTGTTCCGCTATGCCAGCTCGTATAAATAAAATTTAAGATTAATCATAGATAAGAACTACATAAATCTGAGATTTTGCCTAAATTTAAATTTCATCAATACCTAGCAAATACAATACATTTATCATGTAAGAGTTTAAAAAGTATTTCTTAAACTCTTCTCCCCGTATAGGGACTGCCGAACTATTGGAAGCACTATGATTAAAAAAGTTAATTTTGTTTCTAGCGATTACATGAGAACCCGTAAAAGTGACTTCGTTTTTTGAATGATTATTTTACATATATTCTGAAGGTTGTGTAAAATTGAAAATTTCACTTATGGCTTTCAAAGTTAGTTCGGAATCAATTCAAATTAGTAATTTGATTGAGTTACAAATGGTCAGCCACATGACTCTAATAGTTTATCCTTAGTTCGAATTCCGATATCTGAACGGGCTAGCTGACTATCAGTTGTGGTTGTTTGGCAGTATTTGTGTCTGGCTGTTAGGTACGAAATTAATATGTGTGCACAAAACACATTTTCAGAAAATGCAGTACGAAAGGAGCTGCATAATCAAAATATCTATAGTAAAGCTATTATGTTAAAATCTCTTGTTTTATGAAAAAAAGGGCGAAACAGAAATTACACTAGTTTTAAGGATATGAAACGGTAAATGTTGATGAATAGAAAAAAACAGCGGAGGATTACTATCCAGATTGTCAATTTCTTACAGTAAAATATGGTAGTGGTTCAGTTATGTATTGAATAAACCCAATTATAACTTTATAAGGTAAATTAAATAACTGCGTCTATGTAATTATGTTAAGTGACCATCCCCATTCAGTGACGCAGACATTATTCTCTTCGGGTAAGTGCATTTTTTTCAAAATGATAACTCTTCCCATTCACCAAAATCAGATCGTTCAATCGTTGTTTGTATTACATGAAATTACACATTTCCCCTAGCCTGCATAACCTTGAGACACAAACATCATTGAACCTTTCCGGTTTGCTTGGGAAGATTGAACGAACTCCTGCTATCTCTCCTAGCATTTTTCAGAGCATTACAGAAGCTTTGACAGAAGGATGGTATGAAAAACATATTGCCATTTTGCTATCATTCAGAACTTAAACTGGATTTGGAGCGAATTTTATAATTTATCTCAACGATGATACTGGTGTATTTAAAGAGAAAGGAACGCACACAAAATACTTACTCGAGCATTGATATAATATAAAAATATAAGTAACGCCACTACACTGGATCAATTAAATTTGATCATATAAAAATAATTAATGGGAAATTATAAACAAGAGAAAGGCGTGGATTTCAGAACGTTACAAATATATCGTAGTAAAAACATTTACAGTTGTATGATATGTTCGCACTAACTTAACTGACTGTTGATCCTATTAATTAGTTTTGCTACTTTCATTTGTAATGCTTTTGGCAAAATGGAGGGTCCATCTCTTTGGAATTTTCGAAAGCCTCTCTTCTTATACATCTTATGGATTCATTATCCCCATCAAGATATGGCTAATATTCTTTAATACTTAGTTTATGCCTCTCATGACTCCGATTTTGAATTCCCGATGCTGCAAACCACATCGAACTGCATGTGAGAAGACTGGTTCTGTGCAACATGCCTTAACTCTTGAACAAGGATTTATAGTGTACCTGTACGATAAACAATAACTATCCGCATAAGAAATTTATCCATTCCTTCGATGGTATGACAGGACCATGGAAGCAGGAATAGCTCCTTCCTTCCTTCATGGACAGAACAAATAGGATCCTTCAAGTCAATGAGTTCGTATTCGCATAACTGTGGCCGAATTCTATTCAACACGAGCACTAATTTTTCGGATAGGTAATCTTCAATCTCAATATATTGCAGTTCTCCGGAGACTCCTATGATCAAAGTTTGAATCGTTCTAATATGACTTTTGTATTCTTGACGATATGTAGCTCAGGCCGTCTGTGCATAAAAATTCCAATAATAATGTAATTTCCAACACTTAATAGTCATTCCCGAAACATATAAATTTGTAAGCGTATTGTGCTATTCAAGCATTTCCATAGCCTTCGGAATATGGAAATTTCTAGCCAATACGATGTAAAGTGTAATTACAGATGCACTTGATTGTACACTTTTTTAGTATTTAACAGCTTGGAGCTGACCAGCAGTTTAGTGACTAAAGTTACAAAACACTGGCAGTTTGCCCCTCCCCCTCCCCGAGTTGTATTTTGAGTGGTTGAACAGGTTGGTTGCATGAGATCTTTCAAGGTTTTCCTCATGTATAACATAAATTACCTTAGATTAATCTCATAATGCATACATAAATCTCATTGGGCACATAAATTCCTTTTGAATGATCTCATAATGATAATCTCATCTCATAATAAATAACCTTACTTTGCATAACAAAAATTCCTAACATCCGTTTAAAAGTTTTCAAATTGCTTCCCATAGGCAGATAGTTTTAGTGCGTTTTTGCCAATCAATTCAATTAACCACCAATTCACATCAGTACATACGTATGTATGTTGTATTCTTATCTGTCTCCAGCTTTTCTTCTAAAAAGTACTTTTTTTCACGGTACATTCATTCTATTTTTCCACTGATCTTAGTTATACTAAGCTTACAAAATATTTTGTAAACTACTTACTTGGTGAAGTTGATGAAAAAGACATGCCGATCGAAACTGCAAGGAGCTGGAGTATATTTCACCAGTTTCACCAGTCTGCGCTAGCAAAAAGATAAAAAATTTACTTAGACTGCATGAATAAAATATGAAGCATAATACAATGATGTGACATATTAAAGGAGTTTAATAGTTAAAATAATGAAGGTGATTTTTCAACTTAATAATGTATGTAAAGAATTTTTTTCTCTTAACGCGGAACCATGAGGGTGATATACAGGGAGATTCTTGCCTGTTAAAAGCCATTCTTGTAATTATGTACTGTTCAGAAATAAGACAGACAAGTTAAAGTAGAAGAAAAGTCTGTATACTTAATCATGAAGACAATGCATATTGATAACATATGATAAATTTTTGTAAATAATTGCTATAAGACAGTGCAGCAGAAGTTAAACTATTAAGGCTTAATTCTGAATGTATAAGATATATTAACTACAGCTATAACTTTGTTTCAAAGTAAACCTTTCAGTATTTACTAGAGATGATGTTGGTAGATGTGAAATAAATAGAACTGTTTTATCTCTTAAAAGTGATCTGCCTTGAGACACCTATGTGAAGAGATTCCATTACAAATTATTACATATGGTAAACCTTGAAAATATCCGTGCATCGGAATCTTTCTGTCTCCGGGATACGTATTTCCATTTCATGCTTACGAGTAAATCTGGAGATCTATGATGTCTTAGCGAAACTTGAACGTAGTGGAAAATGTTGTGTCTCAAAACATGAACAGTTTCCTTTTATGGTTTTGCCCCCTACTAAATTCGCCATTTTTTTCCAGCGTAGTTCCCCCCAAGTCCTCATAAATCGCTAAATGTTCTCGTGCGCCGTATTATTTGAGTTGAAGAAAATAACGCCGTAGGATAAACCTACATCATTAACTATTAAGTCACATATTCCATAGCAAAGCACACAAAAGTTTATGTTAGTTATATTCCGGTTTTGTTCAAAAGCACCTTAAGAATACACTCCCAGAGTTAAATACTTTCTTTCTTTGCAATCACTAATCTTTGAAGAAGACTTTCGGATCAGCAGATTTTTAAAGAGGTCCATTCCACAAAAATACTATACCCAAGGTGAGAAACATCAAATCTTATCAGAACTTGACCAGTCAGTTCAATATTGTTATGAACTTTGTAAAAATGTAAATAATTTTAGCGAAATTGTATGTAAATTGTACTATCTCTTGCGTGAAAGGCCTCAGAATGCAAAGCATCGCCGGAAAAATAGGCGTTCAGGGTGAAGTTCACGTAACACTGAAGTAAATGGTTATCTTGCGGAGATAGTGTCAAGTTGGTGCTGCTTTTGGAGACTAATTTCTGCAGCCAAATTTGGAAAGAATCTCCAAAAATCGCTAAGATTAGTCACTTTTGGAAAATTTCAGTTTAGCTCAGAATATTAACGCCAAGTTTGGCGAGACTGGAGACTTTCCGTTCAGCACAGCGTATTGAGAGATCACCGTGACAGCTTTCGCTTTGAAGCTCTTTACATTGTTTTGTGTTCAATGTTCTTAACAGTTTGAAGTAATAACTTCTGATTGTGTTCTGTCATACTGAGAGGAGCTGTAGAAGTACTTTTGTGTGAAGTTCCAGAACTATTAAGTGTTTTTGGAAAATAAATTTCATCAAGCTTTCATCGGTTCTGCGTGCATTCAACCCATTATGAATCGCACGCACGGAACAATATGATGGCTGATTTTAGCGAGTTGAGAAACAGATATTAATTCAATAATTTTGAAAAAAATGATTCTGTCTTACAGGCCTAAGAGCTTTTATTCAGCCTTCAGTGCTGAGGAAGTCAAAGTTCGAGCTCTATAACTTTTTGATCGAGTAGCGCACTACAAATGTTCCGAAACCATCTTCAATGATGAAAAGTGCTATTTATCTCTTAAAAACTTCATTGGTTATGTGCATCGATTGGATCACTAAATGTCCCCATGTGTCAGTGCAATATTATGTCAGTAATGCCTTCATTGGATGATACTTAAAGGATTTATCTAGTATTTTATTTGGAAATCATTTGGAAATTGCTTAAGGATAGAAGGCTAAGGTTTTTCGCCAAGCTAGTAACCCAATTCATATTTGTCAGGCATCTGTTATTTAGAAAGATTTTCATCAACATGCGATTAATGTTTTTTTTTTTTTTTTTTTTTTTTTTTTTTTTTTTTTTTTTTTTTTTTTTTTTTTTTTTTTTTTTTTTTTTTTTTTTTTTTTTTTCTAGAGAAGTGATTCTTTTTTTTTCTACCGAGAATTTCTTTTATACCATTCCTGAAAAAGAAACCATCATGTCCCATCTCTGAAAAAGAAACTATCATACTTCCGCTGTTTTCCTTTCCTTCTTCCCTCATCATTAGCTGAGGAGAAAGATGAACGAGCGCTCATGTTTTGACAACAAGCTCCGAATCCACGGTTCAGTGGCACCGACACTTTACGAAGCCCTAGCATAACGAAACAAAATACGGAGGATGAGTAGCTGCATAAACATCATTTGCAAAAGCGAAACGGGAGTTGCAGTGCAGTGGTTTATTTTAGGATGGATGATTCGATAAACACGCCGTCTCCCCCCTCCACAAAACTGAGCGTCAAACAGCAGAGAAAGTTTAGAAGGCATCCAAGCACAGCCTCTGAATATCGAAACATCTTTTAAAGCACAGCTAGGAAAGTTTGGCGTCACAGATGTGGAGTGTGGGACATATTGGCAACAGTTGGCATTAAAAAAAAGGAGCGAGAGAGAAAGGGAATTTGCACTAACTCTGCTTTTTCAACCTCCTTTTCAAATTACTACTGGAATATTGTACTTTAGTTGTCACTTACACACATAAAAATACGCAGGTTATCCAAACAGAAGTCTTCGAAGTAACCTCCACACACATAAAGTCATATACACAGACATTGCAATAAGTATCAAACAAGTATTCCCCGCTTTACGATAGTTCGCTTTATGGTAATTTTATTTTTAAGAAGTAGATGAACCTTCTCTAAAACGAAGGGCCCACCAGCGGCCGAGTGGTAAAGTCGCTGAACACTGGTAGTTCGGTCTGAGGTTCGAATTCCGCGAACGGGCTGGCTGCATGGGTGTTTTCGTGGTTTTCCCCATGTGTAACGTGTATACGAGCCAGTTTCCCTTAGAAAGTCCTCCACGAAGGCGTCCCTCCCCTTAGGCAGATAGCCCTCGAGACTTTGCCGTGGTTAAATAACCTAACCTAACCTTCTCTAAAACGCCTCCGGACAGTTTCGGTCTTCTGTGGAACCGGTAACTACATAGAAACCGGCAGATGGCAACACACCGGATTATCTAATTAAAGGCTTTTGAAATCAGCCGAAGAAAAATATCCGAGTAGAAATGTGGTATATTGATTCATTAGTAATCTTACATGAATAAAATTAACAGCTAATTACAGAATACAAGATAAATACCGAATAATCTAGCAAAACCAATTAAATGAATAAAGAAATAACAAATTATTCTAAATATAATTTTCTAAAACTCACTGTATACAGAATATGTAAATAATATTTTTAAGTAGGAAAAATAGATCTTTCGTGACAAAAACTATAGAAAAACTAAATAAAACTTTACATTGTAAATTTTTAATAATTTCTAAAATACTCACTGCTTATCAGGGCTTAGATTCAGCCGAAGCAAGGTTTCAGTACTTCTCAGACTTAAACTACTCCCAGTAGTTCTCAGACTTAACTAAGATGAGTTGCAGTATTTTAATTTACTGTTTAACTAATTGTAATTAATTTATTAATTTTTATTTAATAATTTACATTTTATTTAGTTTTCATTTATTATTTAAAATGTCCATTGGCAGGAATTTTCAGAAAAATGAAATTTTAGTTTGCGCAACTTTAATCATAAAGAAAATATTATTATAAAAATCATACAAAAAATTCGCAGTAAATTTGCAACTTTTATTTAAAAAAGCGGTAATGTTACTCGTGTCCTATCATTCTTTAAGCTACACGTGCCCCCTATTTAGTACTAAATGAGTAACAATTCTTGCGAGATTGAAGCTATAATTACAGGTATGAAAGCTTATGTGTTTTGCAATGGAATCCTGGCGGAATGTCACAGGTAAAGTAGGTAGAAGTTGACAATATTTGTCGTGAAAGGAATGTCGATACCGTCTCTCTGGTCGAAGCTCACGCCACTAATGAAACTTTGAGAAAATTGAAGGGATATAGTTTATTCTGCATGGAATAGAAGAGACAGGTTGTAAGTGGAATACTAATGGGAATAAAGACTACACTAGTATCGAGATTTATTGTTTTAAAAAATGGGAACAATGGACGATAAGACTGAAACTGTAAAAATAAAATGTTGGGAATATGATAATCATTTTAAGATTTATTCATTATACAAGAAGCACACACCACATTATATGCTGTATGCGTACGGGTATTACGAATCCGTGCGCATACAATTTTTGATCTCAGGAGCGTCATACGTAATACATCGAATGGTTGATAAAATATATTTTATCAAAAGAAACACTTCTCGAACTTTCCACAGAAATACTGATAGATGTTCACAGTATCACAGAGTATAATCAGTAGTTGCACTTCAAACTACTAAGAACGTTACACACAAGGCAATGCAAATGCATCTAAAAGGTGAAGCTTTCACAGGTGTCTCAGTACTCCGAAGTGGCTCTGAACTAACAACTCACAACTAAGAAACTGATGCTCTTTCCGGCCCTGCGTAATTTTCCCTGACGGCCGAGAAATTTCTAGCACTTCTTGAAATTTCTGGAAGGCATAAATGGGCCGGATACGGTTACAGTTGCATATTGGATCAATTACAGTTATTCAGTTACAATACCTATTACAGTGATACAATGACGGGACAAAATGTCATCGAGTTTGGCGATTTATCACCAAATTTGGCGACAACAATTAGTCGCTAAAACCCTGACCGACTTGGCGATATCTGGCCGATTTAGCGAGATAGCCATTTACTCAATGTTAAACAGACTTGCGCCTGCATTCTTGTTTTACCGGCAGAGCATCGTCTCTTAAGATTTTTCATCTTCATTATA